AATGAATAATTACTAGGTTTCTTTGAAACAGGAGCTATATCTCATTCCTTTAAAATATGGTCAAGTTTTTAATTCTTCTATCTTAATTCAGACTCCTCTCTGAGCACAAATGTATCCTGAAGTCCTGGGTAATTTTAACTGAAACAGGAACATTGGTCAAACTCACCTGAAACATGTCTTGTGTTTTCTTCTGTATGTTTTTAAGTATGTAGTGTTTTCTTTTTTACTCTCTTTAACACCTACATGATATCCCTCTCTCTCTCCCTCTGACAGTGGAGCACTTGCTAAGACCCATGGAGAGAGGGAATAATAGGATCCACTCTCTTCAGCCTTGTAATGGGTGAGCTTTTTAAGTTTGAAACAAAAGATTGGAATATTTAAAATGTTTTCATTTTCTATCACTGCCTCCCTTGGTATAAAAAGAGAAGTGGGAGAGGAGATGAAAAGTATATTTGTAATAGACAAAAAAAGCAATTGTCCTTCTCAATCTGTGAAAATGTTCCATTCCTTCCCACATCGCATATTCAATAAAACTTCACCAGCCAGCAGTCAAAGTTAAAGATCTTTTCAAATGGTTGCAATTTCACATCCTTGGAAACCCCAACTTTTCTTTCTCTGTTCATCTCTGGTTATTCTACACAGATAGAGAGATCTCTCTCTCTCTTTCATTTTTCTCTATTTCTCCCCGATGTATATAATGTGTACGTATGTATATAGATATGATAACTAGTCTTAGCTTTAATATTAAAACAAATATTTACTGTTATATGTATTTAAGTCACTAGAGGACTGCTTGAGTAGAGGAAAAAAAATGATCTTTATTCAGAATCAAAGTTTACTACAATGGTATTTATTTGGGCGTTTTTCCCCAAATAATAAATTAATTTGAGTCAAATACTATGCTTTCCATAGCTTGGGGGAATTTGATTTAGTGACTTGAGCCACTGACCTGGTTAAAAAAATCTATAGAAACATCTGGTGCTATGAAACAAAAGACACTAATACAATGAACACTCATTTTGCCCCGATGCCTGTAGTAAACCATATTTATTATTGCTATGTTAAATGATTATGTGTCTTGAGTTTTTCTGTTTCTCACCCCCAGGAACTTTGGAAATGGATATTCACTATAGCATACAGTGTTTATCTGATTTATGACTATATTATCAAAGCTGTTGAACATTTAGTATAATCACAAAATTTTCTGGGTGCCTTTAAAAAATACAAGCATGTATTGTCTTAGTTCTTGCTATGACACGCATATACAAAACTTAATATTTCTCTGTACATACTCATTGCAGTGTGGGAGGTGTAGTAGACAGATAAGCTCAGTTCTTCCATAAGAAAGTTGTCTGTTTGGTTTTTATCTTCATATCTGTTTTTAGATAGTCAAGACCAAGTAGTGGAAGCAAAAATGAAATGGAAAAGGGTTAGAGTCATCTTTTGGGATTCCTATAAATAGTAATTATCACTGATACTATATCAGTGATACTTGTCTCCTTTTATATGTTAAATCTGCTTTTAGTGGTGTGTCGGAAACAAGATAAAAGTCATATTAATTAAAGATTATTGTGAACATAAGTAGTAGGGGACAATCTAGCCCATCAATTGGAATGCTTTAAAAATCTACAAGACATCTTAAAATGAGCAAAATGGATCAATGAGCTTATTTTCCCCCCTTACCATAAAGTTAGGAGCTGGTGTGCTATGATTAACTTAGGTCCAGATTTCAAAACGACATATTTTTAAATAAAGCTTTGTCTATCCCGGTGTACCAATAAGAGCTCTTAGGCTCTCCTCTTAGGTAGGAGATAAGACTGTGTAAGTACTACAAACAAGAGCTCACAGAGCTTTCTAGCTTAAATGGAAAAGTGGATCCATGTTATCCTCTAAACGAGTATGGGAGTGAACAGAGCAGAGAAGGGGTTACAAGATTTGCAGGATTGTGAATAGTCAAAATGAATTAGGTAATTAAGAGACTCTTCTTGAATATTTCTTGGACACATCTGAACAACAACAACAAAATCTTATGAATGAGGACTTTAAGCATTCCTTAAGCTTAGTTGACATATATGATTATTCTTTTTGCCTGAGAATCCAAATGGCATGTTTGGGAATCAAAGGATAATATTATACATCCTCAAACCCCATTTTATAAAAATATTACTTTGTTTCCTTGCCCTGGGAATATTAGGTTTGCCCCCCTGAGAAAAACGAGAACACAAATGTGGCTGTGGAATGATCTCTTGATCCTTGGACAAAACTGAGGGAAAAGTCTAACAAATGCATCGTTTTGCAGTAAATTAGATCAGATTTCCACATCTCCGCACTCAGTCTGTGAGCTGACAGTTCGGTAAAATGTTCCCTTGTAAGGTTCGCCCTCTTAGGAAAAGGGGCAATAATTCATCATTAGGATTTCAGAGTCCAGGTGTAGATGGAAACTGATGGAGCCTCCAGCGAGGCAGGGAAAGTGCATGGAAGAAGAAAATTTTATCTGAAGCCTAATTCCCTGGTTACAGCAGAGAATAATTAAGATAATATTGCTTCAAGAGTCCTTTAATGATTAAAAATCACATATGCAGAATCCATAAATTGGAGAGCAACAAATTGGAAGGCTATAACGTCAGAGAACTATTTTGTGCACATTGTAGTGGAAAGTATACTAGTGGCAGTGCGCCGTACGGGCAGCCACCAGAGACCGGGACCATTCCAAGGACTTTGTTTAGATGCAACAAATCATTTGTCTGTTATTAACCCAGAGCTTGTAATTATGCAGATTGCCATAGATTTTCCTGGGCCTGGAAGTGAGATTGAGGGTTGTTCACAGTATAGCAGGCAGCTCAGGGCTGGCCATGCATTACTGAACTTGCCACATTTATCATGTTGACTGATGGCAGCAGAAGCAGGTCTCAGGTCCCAGTGGTTAATGTAGTGGGTAATTAACTGTCATTTGCCTAGTAATAGGCTGATGATCAATGGTTTGTGTGGAAACAAATTCTAATCAGGTAGCTGATAAATGCTCAGCTAGCGAGAGCAATTGAAATTGGGGGAAACTATGTCCAGAATTTCAAAATGGCATTGTGTGTGTATGTTTATTAGGTAAGTGCAAACTGGGTAATTCTTAACAATGGCTTTATCTCATATTAACCAGATTTTATATCCACAAATATATCTATATTCATGGAATAAAGAACTTTTGTGTTTTTTTTCTTTCTCAAAAATCATAAACAGAAGAAACAAATGGCACACATAAGTGCCGTGACTCCTGAAGAGATGGTGTGAAGTACACTCAAAAGTAAATGTGAAATGTTAAAATGAATGAAAAAATTCGTCTCACAGAAGAATGGGATGAAAAACTTTAGTTTGTGATGATTTCATTTTTAATGATGCCAGCAGGAGACTGCAAAATATTATATTTTCCACGAAGTTCTTTTGCAAGAAAAAAATATTTTTCAAAATATGGATTGCAAATTTAGGACATAAAAGATATTTGAGTTCTGTTCCTTAAGTTAGAAATATTTAAAGATTTTTCTAATTCTCTCAGGAAGATAAGTGTCCAAGAATTTTGAATTTAATCTTCTTGAATATAAACCTTGCGTACTTTTTATCAAGTGTTCAAGTTGTGCTCCAAAACTGTTTAGAAAGCATTTGCAGTTTCTACCCTCAAGAGGCCTATGTTTTTCAAGAGACAGTCTCACAAAATCACAAGCAGAACATTTATTGTACATTTTGTCAGACACGTAGACACCCCTCTTACAACTCTGTCCAACCATTGTCATTAGCCTGGTAAGAGGAAATAGTTATGAACTTGAAAATGAATATGCATGCCTTAAGCAAAGACTTATCTTCAGAGTATATAGAAAGTAATAAGAAGAGATACTTCTGCACGTTTGTGCATAATCCTTAAATTCAATAAAATGAAAGGCTAAGATTTTTTAAAGTACATTTTTATAACCAAAATGAGTTTTCTCCATAGCACCTTTGAATTCATTAGTTTAGAACTGCTTTTAATTTGGTCTTTCCCATGAGAGCTATTATATTTTTCTCCTGTCAGACTGATGTTGAAGAAAAAAGAAAACTGGCAGATGTAGTGTTTTTCATCTAGTTTGCTTCCTAGTTAAAAAGTACATTAACTACTATGCATGAAATATTATTTGTAGTGATTCTTTACCACCACTAACAACTTTGAAGGAACTTGGTTTAAATATTGCCAGTGAAAATGAGTAAAATATTTCTTCCCACTAGGAAATGATAAGACATTTTATTTTGTCCTATTTTTTAGGTCATTACAATAACCATTTTCAGGTATCTACAGCAAATAAGATTTTAAAAGAATACCTTTTTTTTTCCCTCAGGCAATTTCAGTGGTTCTGACAATATATTATGCTTGAACTCCTGGTCTAGCTATATATAGTTTACAGCCTCATTTACTTTAATGCGCTACCTGAATAACAGAATCACAGCTATAACTATGGTATAGGGCCAGAAGGTGCAAGCACATCCATGGTTTTTTGACTATTTAAATGGCTTGTTCATAAACGTTATTTCAATAATAATGGCAAACCTCTTAGAATCTAGATGTCAGAAAAATGGCAAGTCATTCAAATGGGTTTCTTTTCCAACTAAAATATCAAATATACAATGTTAAGATCAAAGTTACATTGCTTTTATGTTTACTATGTACTCCAACAAGTAGGTTTTTTGCTGTGAATTCACCCCTGTTGATTTCTGTTTGTGTACAGTTATGTAAACTTCCTAATGTATTTGCCTTTTCCTTTGCTTTCCAAACAAGATGTGATTTTCATCAAGAAAGGCCAATGGAGTATATATTACAGAAGAATATTTATGTGTGCACCTAGGATAAAACTCGTTTGTGTATCTCATAAGTCATTATATTGATAGCTTTACGGGGTATATTGGTATCCTCTATTCACAATCTCAGATTTCCCTTAGTTAAAAACAAAACAAAAACAACAAAAAACTCCTATTTATTGTTGTAGGCTTTTTGGTGTAACAGGAAACTGTGCTGCCTGTAGCAAGCTCATTCCTGCCTTTGAGATGGTGATGCGTGCTAAGGACAACGTCTACCACCTGGACTGCTTTGCCTGTCAGCTCTGTAACCAGAGGTAAGGAGGCTTCATCTTGGCTTCTCAAAAATGGCACACCTCTGTGCTGGCTATTGATGGAATAGGTGGTAATGATATTGGTACACTTTACTAAAAGCAATTAATCTCAGCATTTTTGTTTTCTGCAAAGATTAATTCAGTGCCAGAAATAGGCACCAAGGAGGGAGGTCTTAAGACTGACTTTAAAAGAACTGTATTGTATAATAGCCTGTGACTGGACCTGGAAATATTTTTATTAACTTTTAGACTTATTATTCATTCTTCTCTTTATCATTTTTCTGTCTTTTAACAAGTTAGTTTTAAATAGCTTTTTTGTACTGCTTCTGTGAGCAAACAAGTTACCACAAGGCAAACATACAGAAATGTGTAGCAGACATTTTGTTTTCATCGTATTTATTGAATTTATAGTTTCCCCCTATTTCTTATTTGCAATTTTAACCTTCTCCTATGTGTGCTATTTCAGTTGCCTCAAATATCTTTAAGTATGAGACCAGACAGAGCTAATAATTAAGCAATTATCAGAATTGGAAAGGCAGGATTGGCAAAGCAGCAATGGAAAGAGCATTGCATGGGGAATCTGGAAGCTTAAGTTCTTGTCTTATCTCTGCCACAAATTGACTGTGTGACCTTAAGCCAAACACTACACCTCTCTGGACCTCAGTTTTTTTTATTTGTAATGTGAGGGAGCTTGATGAACTTCAGAACTCTTTTGATTCAAAAGTATTATGACTTAAACCCATTTTTTCTTATTGAAAGTTAAACTTTTATTTCCAGTGATATTGGCACTTCTTTTATGTGATAAATGCAGAGAATTTTAAAATATTTTAAAAGTGCATATCAAAAATACAATATTTTAAAAATAAGTATACTTGATGGATTTTAATGAAAATGAATAAAGTGAGTATGTCTATGGCTGTGAGAATATGTAAACATAGTATATTATAGATAAACATCAGTTCCATCAAGTTCTCAGTTCTTGTAATTTGCCCTGAAAGGTTCTGTTTAATGCATAGTCTTCTTATAAGGTTCTGTAGAACAGCAGAAGGAAAGAATATGGTCTTTATGGTTAGAACTAGATTCAAATTCCAGCCCCAGTATATCAGCTGATATATTAGCTGTGTGATCTTAGTATGTTACTTGATTTCTCTGAGTTTATTTTCTACACCCATAATACACTAATATCTATCTTACAAATTAAAAAAAAAGTAAAATCATTTATAATAAGTACCAGGAACATGGTAGGTTTTCAAAAGTTATTTGTTTTATATTTGTAATTTACTTGGACCATATCACGAACTAGATTTTTCTACAAGACATGTAACATCTCTTGCTAAATACAGATGTTTAGAATGTGGCCCAGTATGCCTTTATACGATCATCATTCCCTAGACACTAGCTTAAGAAGTCATCTCATATCTTGATTTTTTTCATTACAAGTGCATGGAGTGAAAGTAGGTTAATACTGTTTAAGATGACATTTAGCCAAAAAATAAATTCATGAATGCACATTTTATTTCTTTTATGAATATGGACATACAACACAAACATCCATACTCTATACAGACACATTTATATGCATGTGTACATGTGTGTGTATATGTTTGGAAAGTATAATAGGAATAAACAGAACACCTTTGTTTCCTTGATGCACTAACAGCAGTCACTAACAGCACAGTTAGGTTTATGCAATAATAATTTCTACTGATGTTCTACTTATAAAAGCTGACATATTCATAGGAGAAAACTTAGATAATAGAAAACAATAAAGAACAATATGGTCCATGTCTTACTATTCGAAAAAAAAATATAACCAACCTCTCGTTTTCTACGTATATATAACAAATTATACATAGTGTCTACTCTGCATGGTATCCATATTTAAGAAGCTTTTAAAAAATAAACAAGGAAGAATCTTAATGTTTGATATTCAGACCCTCTAATTTATATTATATACCTTCTTACCTGTCATTGAAATTTCTTTTAAGATGTTTTAAGCTATTTCATGTTCAGTTTTATAGATAGAGCATCTTATATTAAATTAGTCTGCTAGGCCAAGTGCAGTAGCATTCATCTGTAAACCCAGCAATTTGGGAGGCTGGGGCAGAAAGATCTCAAGTTTGAGGCCAGCCCCAGCAACTCAGTGAGACCCTCTCTCAAAATAAAAAATAAAAGGGGCTGTGGATGTAGCTCAGCAGTAAAGTGCCCCTGGGTTCAATCCCTAGTACTTGGAAAAAAATTCAGTCTTCTATCATCTAATCTACAGATTGTTTCTTCCGAAATTTTGATATTATCACCAATAATATAGGCTCATATCTATCAGGATAAATTCACAGTAGCATAATTAAGCAAAATAATGTAACAATTTGAAGGCTTATGTTAAATGTTGTTAAAGATGCTCTTTAGAAATGTCCTACCAATTATTCTCACACCAAAATTGCACAAAATTATTCATGTCCTCACATTGGCTTTAACATTGAGAATTATTATTTAAGAAGAAACTTTTGTCACCTTTGGGATGAATGATGGCTCCTCATCATAACTTTTAATTGACATTTATTTGATTATTAGTGATCCTTTTTTGTATCATCTTTTAAGGAACTGATCATTTATGCTGTTTGTCCATTTTTCTATTAGGGCAGGCTTACCTATTTTATCTATTTTCCACACAATAGAATGAAAACATCATTCAACTGCTAAACTCAGCCTAAATTCTATTATGATGCAAAGCAATTGTAGGTGGTTAATGCTATTTACAAATCATATATCAATTTTATTTCACCATTGAAATAAAAAGTCGCGTTCACAATTAAGTCTGTCTCCTCAGTAGAACTCAGTCAAGTAAGACAAACACTCCTAAATTTTGGCTCTAAAACTGTTCACATTCTTATTGCTGCAAAATACTATTCTAGTATCATTATTAAAGTACCTAATATATTTCTGTGTTCACTTCATTTATTACATGCCATAATGGGACTGCATATCTTTAGTGCTGGTTATGCACAATTAGCACTTAGTTATTGTCTTGTCACTTCAGCCCCTACAAGACAAACTTCTCTAATGCAGGAAGTCAACTCATCTTCATCAGTCAAGCAAAGCAGACAAATTTTGTTACCCTGAGTACAGAAGGCTTTCAATACAGGAGCATCTGTTTTTACTTTAAAATCAGCGTGGAGATTCCTTCCAGTAAAGCCATATCCCACAGAAGCCAAATTATTGCCACCGTATTATACCTTTTCAAGTGAAACATGAGATAAATAGGTAATTGATAAGCAATTTACCCTAAGCAAACTTTATTGACATCTGAAATTATGAAATTGTAAATATTTGTGAATTTTCTTCAGCTATCATTTTATCTTACTTTTTCAGTAAAATGGCATTAAGATCCAAAGCCCTTCCAAATGTTTAAAAACATAATAATAATAACCATTCAGAATTGGTTGTCCCTTGTACAAATCTTCTGGCCTTTTTAAAAGTGCAAATTCTGGATTAAAAATATAAAAGTTTCTCTATTCAAAAAGGAAACTTAAGGAGAGCTATTTTGAGTCACTTTCATGATAACTTGAATCTCATTCAGAATTAGAAAAAAAATGTATATAACGAGTTCATTTCTTAAATGTGAATAAGAGGTTCCTCCTTAGAAGATTCAATAAAAGTAAATAATGGTTTATAAGAAAAGGGGGAAAAAGTGCTTGTTTATAATGAAGTCTCCCTAAATATGTAGAAATGCATAACATTTCCTTTTCTTTCACTAAACTATAAAAGCACTATGCTAGGCTCTGTGGGAGCAAAGGTGGATAAAATCAAGCTTTTTTCTTAGATGTGTTCAGAGCTGAGAGAGAGAGACATCAAAGACTCACAGATGAGAGTAATCAATGTGAAATAGATTTACACTGAGGGAAAAGAGATTTGTCCTTCAAGTCTGGGGAAGTATCTAAGAGCTGATATGCTGAGTTTTAAGAAAGAACTCTCTAGAACTGGTTAGGACAGGCAACGTAACGTGTCTGATGGGGTTTGGGGAAGAAGTGAGGGCCAGGGAGCAATGGTGTAAAGATTTTTCAGGCAGTGGCACAAAGTAACAAGACACGGAGATGTAAAAAGCATTTGAGGTGTTCATAAAAAGAAAAAGCAGCTCAGAGATCTGGAGTGTGGGAGGGATATGGAGGAGCAGAGTAAAGAGCAAGGACCAGAAGGAGATGCAGTTGGAAAAGTAGGACGTCACTGAATGAAAGTTAAAATAAATACAGTTTAAATTATTAATAAATACAGTTTAAATACAAGTCAAAATAAATATAAAATTCAATACAAGTTTAGATAAGTTATTCATTTAAAATACATTTGTGATTTAAAGCTATTGTGTTCTAAAATAAATCTATCTTAACCAATATTTATTGACCCCTGCCCTCTCCTTTATTAGTACAATTTATGGTAGTGCTGCAAAAGGATTCAAAAGAAATATAATTCATGGTCATTTAGCTCAGAACGGCTTCCAGATTGGGAAACATGTTACACATTCATGGAAAAATTTGAAATGCCAGGGCAAATGATATTCCAATAAATAAGTGCTTTGGGAAAGGTGAGAGGTCAAGAAATATTGATGGAGGGGATGGAAAGTAAGGAAATTTCAGAATTTTAGTAGCTAGGAAAAGGGTGAAATATTCCTGGTGAGGGAACAACTCAAGTAATCTTTTCTACTGAGAAAAGATTATTAATAAATAAAAATAGCACACCCTTATATAGTGCAGATCATACTCCAGACACTGTTCTTAGTGTTTACATGAACTACGTCATTTAACATGTAAAATCACCCACATGTAGGCATTGTTATTAGCTTCATTTATAGATAAGTAAATTTATGTACAGAAAATTTAAGTAACTTGCCCAGGTCAACACAGTCAGTAAATGGTAGGCAAGATTTGAGCCTACAGAGTTGGGTTTCACCCTGTGGACTAATACCTGTTTCAAAAGAAGTATTTTATTTCTGATTAAGAGCATATAAATGTGAATAGATCTTGTAGAGTTAAAGTAGGGTTGACTTTGAATAATTTATAGCAGAATTCAGGATATAGGTAGCATTTCTTGGTGCAGAAAGGATTGTTAGGAATGAGATACTACAAAAAGGATTGTTAAGAATGAGATGGTACAGAAAGAATTGCTAGGAATGAGATGTGTAATGACAACTGGGCTGTCAGTAGGGAAAAAAGACAGTAAATTTGTTCACAAGTGTACAGTGGTAGAATGAATATGTAACTTATACCTGACTGAAAATGGTACAGTATAGAAATCTCCATCTTTTCATAGCTGTGGATACTGAATAAGAAAGGTAGAAACATTGGCAATACATATTGAATTCCTTCTTCTTTACAAAGGGTTAAGGACATAGAAATTAGTTAATTGGCTATCATTAACCTTAGGGAAATGAAACGACTAAGTTAACATTTTCATTTGTTTAAAAGTGTGTTACAAATGGAGGTTTCTTAGTACAGGCTTTTGATAACCTGCTCAGAACTATTCTAAGCCCATACTTCATGAGGAAGACTTACTAGTTGTACTTACTTCCTGTATTTCTCAAGTCTCTAAGGCCATGCAAAATCAGTTAGAATCACCCCAAAAGATATGGAAATTAAATGCATTCTTAATGCAAACATCATGATTAGATGACTTTAATAACCTAACTGGGAATCTTTTTTGTTCTTCAATTTTTTAAAAATGAGGGCAAAACTAATTGAACTGACCATATCAGAAGCAATTAAGGATTAGATTACAAAGAAGATTATCCATTTATTTTTAGGAGTTTTAGCCTGGTCTGTTAATATCTTCACAGTGTCCTCTAACCATCAACACTTCAGTAATGTTTTTTTCTACAAATGCTGTCTCATAAGGAACTTATTATATAACACTGGAAATTAGCCATTCTTACAAAATCACAGTTACAGGTTATTTTGTTAAACACTTAATATCTGCATTACTATTTCTCTAATTTCTTTGTGTTTACATATAGAACATTTTTAAGGGGGATGTCAATCTTAATTGCATACCAGTCATAATCTCCTCTTAACCACAGCTGTCAAGGCTATTTTGTTTGAATTATATGTGTAAGGATGACATTCCTCACCCATGTTCTGTTTCATCTTGACCTTTAAGTTGAAATGCACATAAAATGTACTTTATCCAATTGACAACATATTGGTAACAAAATATTTTAGGTAGGAATACTTTATAATAAATCTCTCTCTCTCTCTCTCTCTTTCTTCGTCTGTGTGTGTGTCTAGAGAGAGAGAGAATTTGTCTGCCTATCATACAATAAGATGTGAGATATCTAACATCCATTGAATGGTAGGCAGGGTTTCTAAAGTTATGCAAAAGAAGTTTGTAAGACTATTTAGTATTCATATTATACTTCTAGACTTCATGTTTTACTGCTCCTGGTTAAAAGCATGGTTCTTGAATCCAAAGAGACCTGGGTTATTTTCTTTCCACTACCACATACATCTTAGTTATGGAAACTTGGGCAGGTTTTTAAAATTCTGAGAGAGAATCTTTGGGTTTTTGTTTTTATTTTTTTAAGGTCAATGATAATAGTTACTTTCTAGGTTGGTGGTAAGAAATAAATGTGATCATGTATACACATGCTTAGTATTAGCATATGGTAAGTACTTTATTAAAGTGGCTATTTTACCTATATTCCAAACAACAAGGTAAGACTACATATTTCACTTCTACTCTTTGCTACAAACTTACCAACACATGACTGATATAACTAACAAGAAAAACTGAAGTTTCTTCTTCAGTTATTGCAAGTGGAAGGTTGGGATCTGAACCCTGCTCATTGCAACACACCTGTCTGCCTTTCATTTACTTTTCATTCAAACCTCCCTGTTGTCCAGTGCTGCAGCTGCTTCTCTTACTCATAGTGAACTAAGAAGGGGAAGTGTGAAATGTACCTAGGCCTTGCAGTGGGTAAGTGATCAGGACAGGACTTGGGCTAGATTTCCCCACTCTGTGTCTGTGCTATTCTCACTGTAATTACCTTGAATTTATTCAACTACATATGATAACAAGACAGAAAAGCATGGTTTTTATTTGATGGTTCATAGAATTGGGGTGCTTGAAAAGAAATTAAAGCAAAACTTAAGATAGCATAAAGCTGAAAGAGTTGTTTTTTAGGAAAAGTGATTCAGTAACAATAGCTTGGAACACAAGTGTATTGTATTGAATCTCTTTTCGATGTAATATTTTGTTAGCTTATTAGATGAAATTAATTTTAACAGTGATTGTCTTGAATTAGGGTATTCTATCTGCTGTTTTATGTACTCTCACACAATGGAAATACTTAATCTGGCTGCAGAGGCCAGTGCAACAAGAGAAGCATTTCCATTTATTCAACATGTCTTAGTTATCAGGATATCTACAAAAACCAGTTTATCAAACAGCACTTTGTAAATGTGACATTGAAAGCATATAGTTTGCAACTAATAAAAAGAAAATACACTTAAAGCCCCAAAGTTGAATGTTCATTGTGTCCAGTAGCCTTGACCACAAACAACTCCAGGATCTCAAGATCAGTGCATAGTCTGTACTTTCAATCAACATCATCAGCAGACAGTAATCCTAGGGAAAAAAAGTAAATTCCACAAATAAACAGACCAATTTTCCTTTAAGAGGAAAGCTAATTCTTTCAATCTACTTTTTTTATTACACTATTTTCCCTTCTATCTACTTAGCTAGTCTAAGGATAAATTTCCAAAGCTACCCAGTTGGAAAATAAATAGGTTCACTGTTTGTCTAGCATTCCAATCTTTGCAAATGTAAATCAGTCCAACTGCTCCTCATTTAAACCTTCAACTTCACAAAACATTAAAGAGTGGCTTTCACTACACAATTTAATCTCTCCACTAAGATTTCTGCCCGAACATCATTCAAAATTGACTATCTGATAAAGAGAGACCACTATCAAAGGTCAGTGAGGTCAACTTGTATAATTACAAGGAGTTTTACTGGGTCAACTCTACCAAACAGCACTGTTTGAAGGTTAAATTGTTACAATTAAATATATATACAGATCTCCCCAGAGTTACTTTATTGTTAAATGTACTGGAAACAGCACAAGCATTTATTTCTGACCTTAATTGTGTCCAAAGTGTCACCCATTGGGAAATTATACAAAAAGAGCACTTATTAAAAAACCTTACAATCTTGCACATTGAATAGTGCTTTATAAAATAAAATGCATAATTAGCTACTGAAAACTAGTTTTATTTATCACATCAATATTAAGAAGATCATTTAGGTTACTCCCTTTGGTTTAATTGGAAGGGCTCCAAGAAATGACATCTACTGTTTCATAGTTGGTATGCTGGCCATGAACAAAGGAATATGGCTCAGAATCCCAGTCTGCCGCTAAAGTAACTTTCAATTCAGAATAAGCACTTCCAAATTATTAGACTTTAGTCACATTTTAATAACAGAGTAAAAAGAAGCTTTTAATGGGAAACTTTACAAGTGGCTATTTTCTAATTCTTTCATTCATTTTAATGCCTTTTACTTTTTTATTAGGTAGATAAATGGACAATGATGAAATCTTCCATAACTCATGACAGAGAAATATTATCATTCTTTGTTTTATCTTAACGAGTACAAATATAGATCAGTTCTTTTTTCTTTCCAATGTGGTAAAAGAAAAAGGGAGGGAAAGAAAAGGAAAGAAAGTCACCTGTGGTGCCCCAGGTATTCTGAAGTTTCTACAGTTTTTATATTTATATAAGACGGAATTTCAAATGTTGTATATGCAGTGTTTCATTAAGCAAACTAGATGGTTTAATTTGATAATGAAGGTATCTCCCTAAACCAAGCTTTCAGATTTAGGAAATTATCAGGGGAGTCTGTCTTTAGGAAGTAAATCTTCAAGTCTATAGATCTGAATGAAATAGTCTTAACACACTTCTTTTTAAATATTTTCAGATTTTGTGTTGGAGACAAATTTTTCCTAAAGAATAACATGATCCTTTGCCAGACGGACTACGAGGAAGGTTTAATGAAAGAAGGTTATGCACCCCAGGTTCGCTGATCTATCAACATCACCCCATTATGAATACAAAGCACTACATTCTTTTATCTTTTTTGCTCCACATGTATATAAGAATTGACACAGGAGCCAACTGAATAGCGTAGATATAGGGAAGCAGGATGGTTATATGGAATAAAAGGCGGACTGCATCTGTATGTAGTAAAATTGCCCCAGTTCAGAGTTGAATGTTTATTATTAAAGAAAAAAAGTAATGTACATATTGCTGGATTTTTTTGCTTGCTATTCGTTTTTGTGTCACTTGGCATGAGATGTTTATTTTGGACTATTGTATATAATGTATTGTAATATTTGAAGCACAAATGTAATACAGTTTTATTGTGTTACCATTTGTGTTCTGTTTGCTTCTTTGTATTGTTGCATTTAGTACAATCAGTGTTTAAACTTCTGTATATTTATGCTTTCTGTATCTACCAGCTATTTTAAATGAGCTGTAACTTTCTAGTAAAGAATTGAAGAGAAAAATCTCACTAATGATACACAGATAGATAAAGCAAGTCTATCAACATTAAAAGTACTAAAAAATAAAGACACACACAAAGCATTTTAGTGACATCTACTACTTATTGCCACTATGATTTAGAGTCTATCAGTGTTCTCATTATAACCCCCTATTTTCAGGGGGTTAAAGATCAGCTTTAAAAAATGCATAAAATTCATCCTAAAGCACTTTGATTTTATACCAACGTGAAAAGTGCCATTTTTGAAATACCTTTAAAGCTTAACGATTATCCTTTCAGTATCCTTTTTTGTGCTCACCGACACAATAGCTTTATCTTATTTTTCCAGCCACACCCCCTATGTGAACTAGTGCCTTTGGGTATCATATAAAATTTTTCCAAAGGGTTACTTTAAAAAAGTATTGCCACAATTATGAGATAATTTTAAACTGATAAATTTCTTGTATAAATGTTGCCCAGATCTCTCCACAGGAGCTAAGGGTTTAATCACTGGGCTAAATGAATTTATGGCACTGAAAAGATCTGAGTGTGAATCTTCTGAAATGATGGTAATGCACATTGAAGCTATAATGGTACTTGAGTAGTGAGGTTACTTTTGATCAGAGCAACATCATGCTTGTAGAATCTTCTAGAAGAAGAGAAACAAAAGGATTGATAAAAAGCTGAGAAGTGGTGATTTTCTATTTTTCTGTATTTGCCTACCATTTAATGTTCAAAAAATGAATGCTTTAAGTTTGGTATGTCATATTTTCTCATCACTTAAAGTGATTACCAACTCAGAATATCTTACACTTAGGCTAAATTCTGTTACTCCATTTTTGAAAGGTGAAATATCATTCCCTTACCTTAATGATAGCTGATAAAGAAGAAAGCTCTAGAAACAGAAATTATGGAGAATGATTATTTAAATTATAATGAAGAAAATAAAAATGAGAATATGGCCCCTTCTGGGTGGCTCACACTTTCCTCCTTGTCTCTATAAAGGAACTCCTTTTCCACAAATCTCATTCCACACAGTCACAATGAACCACATTTTTACTAGAGCAAAAACTTAGTGCTGTGGGTTTTCTTTCTTCACTTTTCCTTGGTCGCTTGTAAAGGGAACAGTATTTACCAGTGTTATTTGCATACATATTTTGTCCTGCCAATATATGCATTACAATGAAAATTACATGTTATACCTGAATTCTTGGTTTGGGGCCAAAATATTAAGCTGAAGATAATGCTGGTGTGGATTTGAGTTGTTTTAAATCAAAGCTTTATTATGAACATGCATGTGAATCTGAATATTGCCTCTTATTTTTAAGAAAATGGTTCTGTGAGAAGTGAATGATAGTGTATTTTTACAAATGCTTCATGGTTAAGAGTGTTCAAGTCACATGTCCCCCAAATTTGAAATATACTGAAGAAAGAATCTCAAAAAAAGCCATTCGGGGCCCACAAAGTAATTATTATTTTACCCTTAGAGCCTTACATTTGTTTCATGAAGAGATAATACTTATATAGTCCCAATGTGACAAAACAAGACAAAGCAAAAACAGGAGGGGGAGAAGATAAACCAGAAGAGGTTTTCATAATGCAGCCCTGTTAGACCCCATTAACAGTTGTCAGTATCTTTTTCAAATGAACCTTTTTCAAATTTAAGCAGTTTTACATATGTTTGTCAATATATCAGAAAAAGAGAACTTATAAATTGGGGGAAAACTTCTCTCTGCTTCTTGAAGCTGTTCAAGTATCCTTGCCACCCCACGACTGAACAAGATTTTCAAAACTTTTTATTTTGCTTAATCCTTCAGGATTTAATTCTTAACGCTTTTTACTCCAAACAAAATTACTTACCTGGATTAAAGATTAAGGCCTTATTCTGTTTAGATCATCTTTAATCTCCATGAAACTGTGAAACAAGACAGGAATCATTTTTCAGGATGTAGGCTGTTTTACATCTAATTGCCCATAAACAGTAGCATTTTTGACCTGAAGTACTAAACTAATTGTCTTGACTACTCAAAGCCCCTGAATTGTTGTCAACTCTCCTCTTTGTGTTGTGTAGCCCTGGTGTCTCTTAGCTTGTTACCTGATGTTCCAGAAGGACAGCTCCGATGGAGCTTGGATTTCTCAAGACGGAAAGCTCCCTTCCCTAACATTCATCTCCAACTGGCTGCTTACAATGAAGGACCAGTCATCTCCACTCCACCAGCGTGCTTACTGAGCTTAAAAGCTGACCTGTGTTTGTAATTTCACTTTCATCTTGCTTAATAAATATCTGCTGGATTCTTTCATTCATTTCTTTTTTTATATTTGGGTTTATGCTTTTAATACAAGGGGTTTCCACTATAGTACAACACTTAATTGGTACAACTGAGGATGATATCTACAAAGTATGCATTAATTCCATGCAAAAAGGAAAAGAGTTATAAGGACATTAACTTTCTCAAGGTAAATCATAACAAGCATAGAGGAAGTATCTCAAATACTTTCTCCAAATACTATGTTTAGGATCTCTGAGGTAGGTAGTTGCCTGCTATTTACTTTCATGGGGAAAACAAAATTGTCAAAAATGAAAGTAGCAATTGCTGGATATAATTTTTGTACACTTACACAAATTTTAAGTGATTGTTCTGAAAGCAACTGTGTTGCCGTCAGACTAAATTTCACATTTCCTATTTTCTCTATAATGAATTAAAACAAAAAACGAAATCCCTCATTTTCAAGAAAGATATGTTGTGCCTTAATTGAAACAGGGTGGGGAAAATTATATCTGTAGTAAAACATGCCATACACAAGTGGTTTCATTTTAACTATCACTTTAGGCAAACCACTCTCTGAATAGTCACTTAAACAATTTCATAGAAATGATAGAGGCCAAACGTGTGGTGTTCACTTCAGTAACTTGCAAAAACAATCTGCATGTTTATTGTAATAGGCCATTAGCAGACTACGATTTTAGCAAAAGTCTTTCAATCATTACTTTTTCTTAAGAACACCATTATAGAGGATTTTAAAATTTGATTTTAAGGCAATCTAGGGTAACAGCAAAGGATTGAGAGAGCCATTATTTCAATCGACATTTATTGAGGGCCTACTATGTGCCAGGCCTTGCCCTGAGCACTCAGCTACGCATGTACAGACTTAGGGTGCTTCACGCACCCAATAACTTCAAAGTATCATTGCACTGCTCTGTTCTTATCCCAAACCTGCTAATAATGAGCACATAGATATGAATACCATCTTCTACCTATTCAGCATGTCATTGGTATGAAAGCCCCAGAAAATATCTCAAGTAATCAATGTGTTCAGAGAATTATCTCACACAAATTACTCATTAACTCAATAGCACATAATAAAAAAGAACATCAATTAATTAATGAGTCACCCTCAGATCACTATGATTACAATAGAGCTCTGTAGAAATGTCGGTTATAAATGGAGCTGCCTCTCTTTATTCATTTTTTGCAATTGGCCCGTTATTTGGCTGAAACCAGTGTCATATTTAACACATGCCTGTGGGTAATTATGTGATTAGTATCATAAATGAAGAATTCAGAAAGCCTACTGCTTACAAGAGCTCTGAAAAAATAAAGAAAACTCGTTCTTATTACAGCTTTCTTTGAAGCCAAGCTATTAGGAGGGTGTTATCTTTCTAAAAGGCATAGTTTTTACATTTATAATAAAGATTTAAGACTTCCATATTGAACACTATCAGGATTAGCTGCTAAAACAAAGGTAAATTTGACAATGCTTTTGTGTACTCATAATTTAATTTTAATATCATAAAGACTAAAATATGCATGATTAATGCCCATTTTGTAAATGCTTTGTTACCACAAAGGACATTTTTGCCTTTGGTGAACTGGGCTGAGATGGATTTGTGGGGACTGACAGCAACAGGGGAAAGGACTTAAAGAAAATAACAGTTATTCTCAGTGACTAGGAAGGCTGAGGCAGGAGGATCACAAGTTCAAGGCTGGCCTCAGAAATTTAGTGATATCGTGTCTCAAATTTTAAAAAGGACTGAGGATGTAGCACAGTGGCAAAGCATCCCTGGGTTCAATCTCCAGTATACATCCTCCCAAATATCAAATATTACATACAAAGTCACCAACCAAACTTTCCCACCTATCTTGGTAAATGCCATCCAGTAAGCGTATATAATAATTATAACAGTTCCCCTAGGTGAATAAGAAACATCTGTTGGTAACATAGCAGGTGTTAACAATAACAGACTGAACTTTTAAAAAATGTTTTTAATTAAAAGAATTCTGTTTTCTGAAAAATATGTTCTACTCAAAGATAACTCCTGTTTTATGTGTTCAGATCATGTAAAATGCACAAGACTGTAAAGCCCAAATCATCCTGGATCATCTGTATTTCAGGTTTGGTGCAGATCATTGTGATCGAAAGTGAATTATAGTAATTCATTGCACCCTGTGTGTGTGTGTGATTGGGGATTGAACCTAAGGACGTTCTACCACTGAGCTACACCCTCAGCTGTATTCGAATTTTTATTTTGAGATAGGGTCTTAATAAGTTTTCAAGGCTAACCTTGAAATTGCAATCCTCCTGCCTCAACTTCCTGAATAACTGGGATTATAGGCCTGTGCCACTGCAGTTGGCTCTCATTGCACTTGTATTCTCTGTGTGTGTGTGAGAGTATGTGTGTGTGTTCCTGGAGATCACACAGGGCCTTGTGCATGCTAGACAATCTCTTTATCCCTGAGCTACATTCCCAGTCCTACACAACTGGTATTCTGGCTGAGGAGCTAAATACTCATAAGTATAGCTGAACTCACAACAGAATATTTTGGTTTTATGGGTGAGGTGTTTGCATTAACTATACCAAATTAAGTGGACAGAGTACAATGAAAAATAAGAGCAAGATATTCAGATCATAGATATTCAAATCATTTTTAAACTGCCCCCAGAGAAGACTTTAAATCACCTAAACAATCCAATTATAAATGTAACATTATCATATGACCCATCAATAACTTTTAATAATAATAGCTAACATTTACAGAACACTTCTCATGTATCGGGTATCTTTCTATGCCCATGCAATTTCTATACCAGCCTTGTACATAGGCACTATTAACCCTGTTTACCAATTAATTGATTGATTGAGTTTCATTTTATTGCCCGTGCTGGTGTTAAACTTATGTGTTCCAGTGATCCTTCTACCTCAGCCTCCCCTGCAGTTCGGACTACATCTGTCTTTATAAGCATAGACAGGTTATTTTACTTGCCCAAGGTCAAGTAGGCTAGGTGGACCTGTGGTAGTAGGAAGTGGACCTTAATTATAAACACAAGTTTTCTGATGCTTGGCCACACTACTAACATCATCTCTTCTAGGGT